AAAAAGAAATAATAAAAGTAGTCCAGCTTCTTTCTCATAGTTCTTTTTCAACTGGATGAAAGTCTCTCTCAGACTTTCCTTGTCAGGAATTCAACTCAGCGAACATTAACTAAGCACCAACCATGACAAACTCTGGGTCCTGGGTGTTCAAACATGAATGTGACCCAGCCCCTGCCCAAAAGAGTATTCAATCTAATGGAGTATAGCCGTTGTTAATGCCAGTGTTTCATACCAACAGTATTTCTTGGTGATACTATTTGAGGCCCAATGACCAAAAATATCTTTATTATTAAAATTCTCACATGTTTCATCCCCTTTGAGACTAGGCTTGTGTTACAAAGGCATGGTTGTCCACACTGTGGTCAAAAACAAATTTTAGGTGGACTATAGATCTAAATGTGAAACAATAAAGATTTTAGAAGAAAACGTAAACTATCACTGGGCGCAGTGGCTCATGCCTGTAATCCCAGCACTTTGGGAGGATGAGGTGGGTGGATCACCGGAGGTCAGGAGTTTGAGACCAGCCTGACCAACATGGTGAAACCCCATCTCTACTAAAAATACAAGCTGGGCGTGGTGGCTCATGCCTGTGATCCCAGCAGTTTGGGAGGCTGAGGCAGGTGGATCACCTGAAGTCAGGAGTTCGAGACCAGCCTGGCTAACATGGTGAAACCCCACCTCTACTAATAATACAAAAAATTAGCCGGGCATGGTGGCGCATGCCTGTAGTCCCAGCTACTCGGGAGGCTGAGGCAGGAGAATCTCTTGAACCCGGGAGGCGGAGGTTGCAGTGAGCCAAGATCGTGCCACTGTACTCCAACCTGGTGACAGAACGAGACTCCGTCTCAAAACAAACAAACAAAAACAAAAAAAACAAAAAATAGCCGGGTGTGGTGGCACATGTCTGTAATCCCAGCTACTTGGGAGGCTGAGGCAGGAGAATCTCGTGAACCTGGGAGGTGGAGATTGCAGTGAGCTGAGATCGAGCCACTGCACTCCAGCCTGGGCGACAGAGCAAGACTCCATCTCAAAAAAAAAAGAAAGAAAGAAAAAGAAAAGAAAATGTAAACTGTCTTCTGAGTTTGGGATAGGCAGAGATTTCTTGAACAGGACATGGTTACATGTGGTAACCATGGAGGAGAAAAATGGACAAGCTGAACTAAATTAAATGATTTCAGTTTATTACAAGATACCATTAAAAATGAAGTCTATGTAATAGGGGATATTTTATAATATATTCAAAAAGGACTTGTATGTAGAATATAGAAAACACTTCTACAAAACAATAACAAAAAGGTAGATTGCTCTATAAATATGTGATATAGACTTGAATAAGTATTTTACCATAGAGGATGTTAGTTTTCTTGGTTGGGGGTAGTGATTGGAAGGGAGCACAAGGGGCTTCTGGGGTTCCAGTAATTAATAATGCTGGTTACTTGAGCATGTTAACTTTGTGAACATTCTTCACATTATGATCTGTGTACTTTTCTGTGTGTTGTATTATTTGTGTACTTTTCTGTACTTTCATTGAAAAAGTTTACATAAAAAAAAATGCTTTGTTGTCCAGGATGAAGAATGTGAGCAAAATATTTTTGGAGGTTAACACTGATTGCAAAATATGTCTCCCCATTTAGAACTGCCTCTACTATAGAAGCAGAGGAAATGTTGAGAGCATGGGACTTTGCAAGGTGGCTAGAGCAGGTCCAGTTTGTGAAATAGTCCTACACACAGCCTGGCAGTGTCTTAGGTTAGCGTAAGTCCTTTGGCCACCAATATCCTGAGAAGCAAGCAGGAGAACAAAAACAATTATGGAGGAAGCACTGGAAACAAGCTTGATAACTTGACAGTTTTGTATAGGGCTAATTCTGCCTGTAATCCTGTTTAAGTCACCACTTATTGATCCCCGTTATCATGTGCCCAGGCACCAAGATGGGGGCTTTCTGTGCATTTAAAAATTTTAAATCCTCAGCACAATCCTGGGAAGCATGTACTCTTATTATTTGACTTTACAGATTAAGGAACTGGGGCTTAGAGAGATTAAATAACTCGCTAGAATTCCAGCTAGCAAGTTGCAGCAAGCTGCAGCTGGAACCCATGTCTGCGTGATTCCAAAGCACCCCCCCCCCCACATGTCTATTATGTTGCCTTTAAAAAAAATTTTTTTTTTATTTGATGGAGCATAGTGAGAAGAAACATACTTAGTTTTCAAATTTGATGATCAGAAGAACTTCTCAAACCAATTTTAAAGTCTGAGGTTTGCTGTGCTATAGTATTTTTATTTTATTTTATTTTTTGAAATACAGTCTCACTCTGTCACCCAGGCTGGAGTGCAGTGGTGAGATCTTGACTCACTGCAACCTCTACCTCTCGGGTTCAAGCAATTCTCCTGCCTCAGCCTCCCGTGTAGCTGGGACTACAGGTGTGCGTCTCCATGCCCAGCTAATTTTTGTATTATTACTAGAGGCGGGGTTTTACTATATTGTCCAGGCTTGTCTCAAACTCCTGACCTCGTGATCTGCCCGCCTCGGCCTCCCGAAGTGCTGGAATTACAGGCATGAGCCACCGTGCCTGGCCTGCAGTTTTACGAACTGCAGTTGTCCTTTGCGGTTGTAAGGTGGTAAGAAATACCTGGGTGGGGTGGGTTGGGGATTGAGAAATCCTCCAAGAAACAACACAGGCTATGATTGGAATGCCCCTGTACGGGTGACCCATGAGCCTTTCTCAATGCTTTGGGGACATTTTAATAACTTGAGTAATTACTTGTGGTAGGCAGGCTTTGTTTTCTACTCATTAACTCTCCAGGCTACATTTTGTTCTTCTTACTGCTAATTCACATGCAGAGATACGTAAAATGGATGTTGTCAACTGATTGCCACATCACTGTCTGCATATCAATGCTCTCCTGTCTGCCTGGGCTCAGAGAGAAGGAAAGAAGAGAAGGAAAAGGGTATGACAAGGAACTTGTGATAGCCGAATCTGTTTTAAAAGCCAAATTCTGGTACAGAAACCAGAATTTTGACATATACGAATTATTGATACTCGTGCATGGCTAGTGTTTTGCAATTGCCCTATTTAGCATATGCTGGTCCTCTTTTTCCCTCCTTGTGATAGATAGCACGCCTTGGGAGCAGACACAGGTAAATGTTTCATGCTTTTAGTTCTTTTTGCTCCTTTGGCTTGTTTGGCCCTTAGGACATTCATGCTTTTTAGCCCGTGGAGTGTTTATAGCATCAGAACATCATCACAACCCTAAATGAAATTTGGATTATTTACTTCTAAGTATGTTTCCCAAACAGTCTAATGTCTGTGTAAGCAATATAGTGGAAGGGCACAGGAGCCGATTTGAATGGAAATATATGTGGATATGGCTTTAGATCTTTTTGTCTATTAAAAAAAAGTCTCCTTTAAAAAATCCTTGGGAACCTGGTGCGGCGGCTCACGCCAGTAATCCCAGCACTTTGGGAGGCCAAGGTAGTCGGATCACCTGAGGTCAGGCATTTGAGACCAGCCTGGCCAACATGGTGAAACTCCATCTCTACTAAAAATACAGAAAATTAGCTGAGTGTGGTGGTGTGTGCCTGTAATCCCTGCTACTCGGGAGGCTGAGACAGGAGAATTGCTTGAACCCGGGAGGTGGAGGCTGCAGTGAGCTGAGATCATGCCACTGCACTCCAGCCTGGGCGACAGGGTGATACTCTGTCTCAAAAAAAAAAAAAAAATCCTTGCGGCTACTTGTCTTGATTTTATTATTATGATGATACACAAGAAAGAAACACCAAACAATCTGAAATAATTGAAAATACATCCAACCCAATTTAATTTATGTCACTGAAATCTATCTAGTTATATGGACTCGTTTTAGGTATAGGTGCTTATTTTTAAAAAACTGGGCAGGAGCTCTGGGTTGCATTTTTTTTTTTTTTAAACTGTAGAACTTCTAGTTTAGAAGGAAGATTCCTCTTCAGGAGATATATAATTATGTATTAATTTAATTAGTGCTGTACATTGTGTCTTGAAGCTATTCAGAGTATCATAGGAACATCTGTTATACTGTGGTTATGATGGCTGCTAGGTTGTTTCCCCAAATGCCTTGACAAGGCAGTTTGACATAGTTTGGTGAAGGCAGTGACCTGGTGCTGCAGTCACCACAGGGATTTTTCATCTTGGCTTCATGTTGGTAGACTGATACTCTCAATTATGTTCAACGTTCTCTTTTTCGGGAGACGGTTGTTTTCATTGAGTCCTGGCTTTCCTCTTTCCTTAATGAAATAGTGACAACTATCATTTTCTACCTTCAAACATTATTATTAGTGATTTTATAAATAGAAAATTATTTTCCAGTTGGGCCTATGTCTGTGCTGGCAACCGTTGTATACACACGGACTCTTTTAGATGTCTAGGACTTTGCATGTGTAAATGGGCAAGTTTTCAGGCAATTCGGGTAGATTTTCCAATCTTGTCTCTCCATTTCCTGTCTAAAGAACTTCTTCCATGTCCACAGCATGTTTATTCAACATTGGATAAAACTTCTAATGGGAAATTTCTTCCGGGTGACCTCCCTGAGAGACTGGGCTGTGGAGAAATCTCAAGAAACACAACCCCGATGAAATTAGCTCCGTTGAGAATATTACTTGGTCCAGGAACAAGGGACAGAATTCAGTTATTTTTGATTCTTGAACAAATGAATTCTGTTTCCTTTTGTGTAGGTGGCAGAAGAAATTGACCCCTGTAGAAGATCCAGTCTCAGTTGGAAATTGAACTTTTGGTTTCTTTTGAGTTAGGAGTGCCCTGGATAAGAGAATGTAAAACTGTTTTTGTTTGAACCTCATGCAACTTGGAATCTGTTCTGTTGTCTGCATATCTTTGATAGATCTGTCTTTTCCAGGGTTGTCCGTCTTTATATTTAATTTTCTGGAGGTTGGAATTGTGATTATCGAATGACTTCCAACTTGGCAGCACATGTGGGTGGATACTAATGAATCCTTTCTTAACCTTCCCAGAACTTTTGGAGAAATCGATCAGTAGAAGGCGGGACACGGAAGCCATACAGAAAGCCAAAATCCTTTATTCATCCTGCATGAATGAGAGTGAGTGATGAAGAAAACTAAATAAAATATTTACCATACCTATCCTTTAGAGTTCTATTAATGTTTTAATATATTGTTTGAGGAAGAAGAGAACTACTAAGAATTCTATTAATGTTTAAAAGTGTTAAAGGAATGATTGTCAAAGACTGGATTTTGACTAGTCCCATCTTAGTTAATGTTGTTACTGGCTTGGTGGAGAAAATCATCTTATTTATATGGGTTGGATTCTTTGGATATCATTTACTCCCTGAGAAACTTAGAAAAAGTCAGCAGGGCAAACTCCACTGTATCTGATTCAGAAACCAGAATCCAGAAGCCAGGCCAAGTCTGGCTTGAGAAAGAGACTGGGAGGGAGTGCACCTACTAGAGCCTAGAGAAATCCAGATTCCTAGGCTTGCCAGGTTTCTGTGTCAGCCTAACAGGCATCTTTGTTGGGTCCTTAGCCCTGTCTCAACACCTTGGGTCTGATTGGAATTAGAACAGATACTGGTCACTTGACCTAGTCTGCCTTCTCAAGGCCATTGCAGGATGAAGCCAGTGCCTGTGGGAAGAGTGTCAGCTGGTCTAGGATTTGGGGTATCATGTGGTGAGCTAGAAAAGAGCAATAAAAGACAGGAATCTGAAGTATCACTTCTTCGTTGGGTAGTGATTGGCTTTATTGAGGCATTCCTTTAGTTGGCGTTGTACCTTAGTCCCACCAAGTATTATTCATTGACTGGGTTCCATGTAGAGAGTCCATGTTTATTGTAGTGAATATCCAGCAGTTTCCCTGGTCAGCTGTCCTGGCAAGAACACTAGATGTAGACAGTCACATTGAAGTGTGGATTGTAGGTAGTTCTGTCTCTGTGATTATGCTCATCTCACCCCACCTCTTTTACCTACTCCCTAACGGCTGAAATTTTAAGTTGGAGCCTTATGGGAATTTTGTCTTGAGAAGATACACTTGAATTCTAGTGTGTTGATCCAGTTTGCAATTCTAACTTTCTCTTCATATCTGCTCCCTTTCAGAAGCGATTGAAAAAGCAGATGCCAGGCCACTGCTACACATCCTACGGCATTCACCTTTCCGCTGGCCCGTGCTTGAATCTAACATTGGCCCTGAAGGGGTTTGGTCAGAGAGAAAGTTCAGCCTTCTGCAGACACTTGCAACGTTTCGTGGTCAATACAGCAATTCTGTGTTCATCCGTTTGTATGTGTCCCCTGATGACAAGTCATCCAATGAACATATCTTGAAGGTATAATGAGGACCCATTTATCTTCTTTGCTCAGTCCTAAATTAGCCTTTTGGGGTGCCATCCTGGGGAAAGAGACTCATGCTGCCTTAGTGAAATAATAACATAAAACATTTTTATGGAATAGTAGAATCTAGAATATTCCCTTCTCCCGGATTTGCAGAATGTATACCATTACCACACAAGTTTTGCAAGCCTTTTGGAAAACTAGTGAATTAGTTTCAAGTGATCTGTGATCTGGCCCTCATATGCCTACTCAGAGCAAGTCTGAGGTTCCTAAATTCCAGTGGGAAGGGGACTACAGGTCTCCTGTTGTTAGCAGAGACTTTCTGTGCCCTGCTCTTGTCCTTGCCTCCTCATTCTCTTGACAGGAGAAAACACATGCCATGATTTTTTGTTCCTCTTTCACTAACATTTTCTTGTGCACACACCTAAATTTTAGTTATCAAATTCACTCTGAATCTCTCCTCCCTCCTTTTCAAAGATGCAGCAAAACTTGTTCTGTTCCAAGTGCTTGCTTGCATTTTCTGTTGGAAGACTAACCATGTCTTCCATAAAGCAATGGGCCACATGGACATACCCTGAGGCAGAGCACATTGGTAAAATCAGGAGCCTGTCCAAAAACTACCAACAGCTACAGACTCACCAGTGAAAGAGCTATGCAAGAATTCAAATAACATTCATCAAATAGTTTTGTGCTTTGATCCTGCTCGGTTTTATTTTGTTTTACTTCCACAGTTACTTTGACTGATAGTGAAAATGTTATTGCATGACTGATTTTCTCCCCAATTCTGTCCTTAGTCAAATCAGAAAATATTAATGAAATATTGATATTCAAATTTTAGACAGGTATTGCCCTCATCTCATGTATTTTAACCTTCTAAAATCCAAATCTTAAAGTTCATCTTTTGATTTAGACCAGAGATTGGCACATTTTTTGGGTAAAGGGCCAGATAATACATATTTTAGGGTTTGCAGGCCATCTGGTCTCTGTTGCAACTACTTAATTCTGCCATTGTGTCTGGGAAAGCAACTGTGGACAACAAAGGTATGGCTGTGTGGCGGGCTGGCCCATTGGCTGTAGTTTTCTCACCTCTAGGTTAGACAATGGAATTCTCAGTAAAAATCTTGGGTCATTGAAAGGACTCCCCTCTACTCAGGAGGAAATTCTGAGTTCTAGAGACAATTGTGTTTCTATGTTTGGTGATGAAATGAGCCATCTTCTAATGCTATCAGGATAAGATGTGTTATCTAAGACACGATGATGATAACCCATCTGATCTCTGTACTGTGTTGATATATCACTCATTTTTTGAAACTAGGCTTTAAGACTATCATTATCAATTCCAGAACTATTATGATGTTCTTTCAAATACCTTAAGTGGTGTTTTGAAGTAAACTGAAGGCTGTTTTCCAAACTTGAGTTTAAGTTTATGCATTCTACTGAGTGATAGAAGATCTTGATTCACACACAGATGAATAATTGCAAATGGTAGCCATTTTATTATCTTTCTCACCTATTTCTGGATCTACTCAATTGAATTTATTTCTTTAAAGTTTTTATTATCAAAATGTGATACAAAATTAAAGAATAGAATAATAAACTCCCATGTATCCATCAACCCAACTTCGACAACTCTCAATTTTCTGCTGTTATGTTTCTTTCTGAGGTTATGTTTTAATCTAGACCCCTCCTTTTTTGGGAGGTGGCTAGAACGTTTTATAGCAAATTAAAAATATATCATTGCATAGTAAATACTTCAGTGCTTAGCTAGCGGAAAGGACTATTATCACAACCAAAAAGATAATCATAATTCCATAATTAACAGCTAATAACTAGTTAATTTTCAACTTTTCTGATTGTCTTAAACATGTCCTTAAAAAAACAAAACAGTTGGTCTTTGATTCAATCTCCAAATAAGACTCACAGGTGAACTTATTTGATATGTCTGTTGTACTCCACAAGGGATCCCCCTATTTTTGTTTTTTTAAACCACATTTATTTGTTGAAGAAACTGGAGTATTTTTCCTGTAAACTGTCTTACATTCTAAATTTGACTGTTTTCAGGGTAATCTAATAGCTGACAAAAGTTCTTGTTTACAGGAGAATCACAGCTTAAAAATGCAGAATAAATAATAGGAAGCTATCTATTTAAAAAAAAATCCCTAATGAAAGGATGGATCTAGGTAATTATCATCAATGGCTGCTTAAAACTATTAGGTAAATGGTTGATTGGGAAATTCATGATAGAGCAGACCGATATCACCTGTACCCTAATATCAATGATAGCATCGCTAAAAGTGGGGCAACTGGATATCTTGTGCCTCCTGGTATCAGTTGGAAGTGCACACTATCACCAGTGATGTTGTTGTGCCCCCACAATTGAGCCTCTAGTTTTAATACGAGCTTACAGAAAACATGAGGAATAGAGAAACATGGTAACCAGTTTTTAATAGCTTGCCTTGTATACTTAATATTCAATTAAACTGATCCTAGAAACGCTAAAATGTCAATGATAGAATACTTTCCAAATGTAAGGAGGCACCCATGTACTTATTATTGCTCTCTTTTGCCAAGATGGCAGCTTGTTCCAAACTGGTATTTAACGTTGTTTGGCATTTGAGTGTGGCAAACGTTTGCTTAAGTTCTGTTCCTGTTTGTACCATTTTACATGACTGAATATTCACATATCTGAACTAATTGCCTTCCCTCAGATATAATATAACTATAGTCTTCCTGATGACACATTTACAAGAGTTCGAGTATGTATCTAGAGGTGGTAGGAGAAGCTTTATTCTGAGAGCTACATGAAACCCAATGAACCTGATAACAAAAATTAGCGTACTGGTGCCTGCCAAAGTTGTAGAATTTGCAAGTGTTGCTTTTTTATTCATTTAAAAATAGTTAAAACTATAAAAGACAAAATCTAATTGGATGAACATTTGGAGCCCTCTCTTATAGGTTTTATGGAATATCGTTAGAAAACTACTGGTATAGTTAAAAAAAAATAGGCTTTGGTATTTAAAAGATTGAGGTTTGCAGTTTAGCTCTGTGATTTACTCACAGAATATCCTTGTGCAAATTACTTCACCTCCCTGATCTCACTTTTCCCATGTGTACGGAAGGGTGAATTAGAATTTACTTTTAATTGTCATTGAGATTCGAATGAATTGACTTTTGTGACAGTTTTCGTGGTAGATACTGGTCCACAGTAGCACATGATACAAGGTTCTGAACCTACTTTTCAAGGATGACTGAGCAACTGGTCAGGACCATTTGGGGAATGTTTTTCTTTGACATGTGTACCTGATAGGCCTCTCAGAGCTCAAACTCAGTTGTGCAAGGAATAGGCATTTTGTTTACTCGACCTAATCTTTGACTCTGAGCTCCCACCCAACCTTTTGGTGGGAAACTGAACCTTAGTCTAGGCATTTACCTCCCCTCTTGGTGGCCCCATTTCTCAGTCTTCTCCTAGGGTACTGGGAAACTCCAATACCAGTTATCTGGTTTCTGAGAAGAAATCCACTATGGAACCATGTAGCCCCTTCAAGTGTGCCCCTCTGATGCTGAGGTCCTGCGACTCCCATTCCTTCTCAGATCCTGCCATGTTTCGGGGACACTGATCAGTTCCTCTGCTTATGAGAATCCTTGACTTCTTTTGCTGCTTGAAAGATCCTCTTTCTGCTCTGGGAGAAATCCCTCTTACCTGAAACTCTCTTCTGTCAATGTCCTTAGGCTTCCTTTTCCATCAAATTCAATTTTCCTCAGTGTGCCTAGCTTTCCTAATCCCACAAACCCACAGGAATAAGAGAATGGCCTTCTGGGCAGGCACAGCACTGTGGGCATCCTTTTGGGTGAGCAGATGGTGCCTTTGGGTGAAGAGAGAGGCACTATTTCTAAGGGGTAGATATAGCCCCATGCCAAAGACACACAATTTGGCCAGCAGGGATTGCTCCAATCTATACAACGTACTTCTGCAAAGCTCCCCTTTGGCGAAATGACACAAGGTTTGCTACAGGCTTAAATGAGATAAAGCGATTTCAAAAATACAGAAAACAATAGAAGTTAGTGACCAAAAACATTATCTTGCTACACATGTTTGGATTTATTCAATGTCAGGAGATAGTAAGTATGAGGATTTAAGGTACAATAAAAGACGTGAGTATATGTGATCCTGAAAGAGTATTTGAAAGGCCAGGGTTGCCCCAGTATGTATTTACTAGTTAATGAAGACAACAACTTAAAGTCATCATCTCTCAACAGCCCGCATTTTTTTGGCTCTCAGTAAAACTCGTAAAAAATAGCAAGGAGAAACTCTAAGAAAATTGGAAAAGTTTCTTTCTCTTTCTTTTTCCTTTTTTCCCAGGAACTGACAGAACATAGAATTTTATTTTATTCTTGTTATTTTTTATTTATACATAACTACACATTTTCATGGTACATGTGATAATCTTATACATTCATAAAATCAAATCATGGTAACTGGAATATATCCAATAATGGGATTGCTGGGTCAAATGATAGTTCTGTTTTAAGTTTTTGCAGAAATCACCAAACTGCTTTCCACAGTGGCTGGACTAATTTACATTCCCACCAACAGTGTATAAGCATTCCCTTTTCCCTACATCCATGCCAACATCTATTATTTTTTGACTTTTTGATAATAACTATTCTGACTGGTGTGAGATACTGATGTATCTCATTGTGGCTTTGATTCGCGTTCCTCTACGAATAAGTGATGGTGAGCTTTTTTTCATATGCTTGTTGGCCACATGTATGTCTTCTTTTGAAAAGTGTCTGTTCATGTCCTTTGTCTACTTTTTAATGGGGTTGTTTGGTTTTTGCTTATAAATTTGTTTATGTTCCTTGCAAGTTCTGGATATTAGACCTTTGTCGGATGCATAGTTGGCAAATACTTTCTGCCATTCTGTGGGTTGTCTGTTTATTCTGTTGATAGCTTCTTTTGCTGTGCAGAAGCTCTTTGGTTTAATTAGGTCCTGTT